ACATTTTGTCCCGAGTGCTTTGTCCTGTGCACTGCCTGCATTTTGACTCTTCTTTCTGCCTGGAAACTTAGAAAAGTCCATGCGTCCAAAAAGCGTCCCTTTAGGTCAAAATCGGTTTTAAACCAACTAGAGAACAGCGATAGTAAATCAGAACCACTTGCAGAATTGAGTGATAATGATTTGTGGGGAAATTCGTCATCAGACACTGAAAACGATTTTGCGACTTCGCTCAGTGATGTGCGAACTTGGCGCTGTATTTCAAATTTCAGCGTTTTTGATTTGATTGTATTATTGAATTAAATTTATTATTATTATATTATTATTTTGTATGATTATTTATTGAATTATAATTTATGATTTCGTGTTTCAAGTTTTATCATATCCGGAATGTTTACTAGACTCTTGTTCGGACAGATTTCAGTGAGTTATTTCTAAATTACAGGCCTACAATAAAAAAACTACATATTTCCATGCAAAATAATGGTACCGCTTTCAGCACCAAAAATCTGAAATAATCATACCGCCAGGGAGGTTAAAGAAGTATTTCAGGTCTAGAGGTTTTTACATACTTACACTGGTCCTGTTTGGACCAAAGTGACCATGCATGTACCATACCTGTGGGATCCCTCTAGAAGCCGGAAATGATTGGGGTACACACTGTTGCCCCAATGATCACCACTAACTTACAGGTCCCATGCCGAACGGCATCCTTGCTGCATTATGAACACAGGAGGTTAGCTGCTTAGCATGGGTGCTTTTCAGAGAATGCTTTGCATATTCCCAATAAATGCAAAGCAATCTGTATTTGGATGAGTTGGAGAGGTGGGGAAGTGATGCCACTCTCTCCAACTCCAATCAGAGAAAGCTCTTCATTCATTGAGAAAATGTGAAGCATTCCCTGAATGATACCCTGTGTTGCCAAGAATATTTTTGGGTGATTTTATAGCATGAACATATGGGATTTGTTTTATTTTAAGACCATGTGCTTTTTTGTAAGCCAAGCCTTCCCTATTGATATGCAAATCAGCCCATCAGATTTGTTTATGACCTCAGCACAGAAAGCAAAGCTCCTTGCAGGAAATGAGGTAGCAGAAAATAGGGGGAGGGAAAAGGGCTTTGGACAACCATGTGGTGAGAAACAAGGTAGGATTGGAAATAGAATTAGAGATTTGGAAGAAGAAAGTGTGTTGGGATACTTTAGGAGAAATAGGAAGCAGTCTGTAAGATCCTGGATCCTAGAAGATGACTCCATCATAAGGAAATATCAAAGTAAAGTAACTAGTTTAGTGTATGCCTATCACATAGTGTTTTGCTTGGTGTCTAGTTAAAGTCACTTTGCATTTTATGCAAGGAAGCTTAGACCTCTGTGGTATGTTAATGTTCTTTACTAAACAAAAAATTCTGTACATACAAACAATGACAATGATAGGAACACAATAAAAGACTGACAGATATACCTATAGCAAGCAAAATGCTACCTACTTCCTGGCAAATAAACAAGTCTATATAAAATGGAAATATGCTAAAATGTTACTTAACTCAAGTTAGAGTGGGTTCACAATCTCTGTAGGCAACGGAGACCCAGGCTCACTCTACAGCAGTTGTAGGAGATTGGGCAAAAATGTCTTCTCCTTCTCTCAGAGATCTTCCTTGGTGTTAAGTCATCTTAAAGTCCTCCTGTCAGTTTAACTGTCGACTTTTTATTTGAAAAGTCTGCAGTAGCCAATCCCACATGGGCGTATCCTTTAGCAATACTATGTTTCAATGGGAGAAACATTCTCCAATTTGACCTCTAGATGGCACTGTTTTATCGTACATGCCATAGGTCATGTAAGAAGGTTAAGCCAACCTTTGATTAACCTGACTTGTTGCTTTCATTTACATAATTAAATGTAGAACAATAGAAGAGACCAGCATATAACCATGGTATCTATGTTCTCATTGTAGAAGACAGCTCGTGTAATTGCTACCAAGAGATTTGTTTGAGAAGTCCACTCAAACATTCAAAAGTAACCTGATTTCTGTTTCTAAGACAAACAAACAGATCCTTTCCTGTAAGTCTGAGAAAAAAATCATAAAACAAACACAGTCAGGTCCATAAATATTTGGACATCGACACTATTCTAACACCACCACAATGGATTTGAAATGAAACAAACAAGATGTGCTTTAACTGCAGACTGTCAGCTTTAATTTGAGGGTATTTACATCCAAATCAGGTGAACAGTGTAGGAATTACAACAGTTTACATATGTGCCCCCCACTTGTTAAGGGACCAAAAGTAATGGGACAGAATAATAATCATAAATCAAACTTTCACTTTTTAATACTTGGTTGCAAATCCTTTGCAGTCAATTACAGCCTGAAGTCTGGAATGCATAGACATCACCAGATGCTGGGTTTCATCCCTGGTGATGCTCTGCCAGGCCTCTACTGCAACTGTCTTCAGTTCCTGCTTGTTCTTGGGGCATTTTCCCTTCAGTTTTGTCTTCAGCAAGTGAAATGCATGCTCAATTGGATTCAGGTCAGGTGATTGACTTGGCCATTGCATAACATTCCACTTCTTTCCCTTAAAAAACTCTTTGGTTGCTTTTGCAGTATGCTTTGGGTCATTGTCCATCTGCACTGTGAAGCGGCGTCCAATGAGTTCTGAAGCATTTGGCTGAATATGAGCAGATAATATTGCCCGAAACACTTCAGAATTCATCCTGCTGCTTTTGTCAGCAGTCACATCATCAATAAATACAAGAGAACCAGTTCCATTGGCAACCATACATGCCCACGCCATGACACTACCACCACCATGCTTCACTGATGAGGTGGTATGCTTAGGATCATGAGCAGTTCCTTTCCTTCTCCATACTCTTCTCTTCCCATCACTCTGGTACAAGTTTATCTTGGTCTCATCTGTCCATAGGATGTTGTTCCAGAACTGTGAAGGCTTTTTTAGATATTGTTTGGCAAACTCTTATCTGGCCTTCCTGTTTTTGAGGCTCACCAATGGTTTACATCTTGTGGTGAACCCTCTGTATTCACTCTGGTGAAGTCTTCTCTTGATTGTTGACTTTGACACACATACACCTACCTTCTGGAGAGTGTTCTTGATCTGGCCAAATGTTGAGAAGGGTGTTTTTTTTCACCAGGGAAAGTATTCTTCGGTCATCCACCACAGTTGTTTTCCGTGGTCTTCAGGGTCTTTTGGTGTTGCTGAGCTCACCGGTGCGTTCCTTCTTTTTAAAAATGTTCCAAACAGTTGTTTTGTAATGTTTTTGCTATCTCTCTGATGGGTTTGGTTTGTTTTTTCAGCCTAATGATGGCTTGCTTCACTGATAGTGACAACTCTTTGGATCCCATCTTGAGAGTTGACAGCAACAGATTCCAAATGCAAATAGCACACTTGAAATTAACTCTGGACCTTTTATATGCTCATTGTAATTGGGATAATGAGGATATAACACACACCTGGCCATGGAACAGTTGAGAAGCCAATTGTCCCATTACTTTTGGTCCCTTAACAAGTGGGAGGCACATATGCAAACTGTTGTAATTCCTACACTGTTCACCTGATTTGGATGTAAATACCCTCAAATTAAAGCTGACAGTCTACAGTTAAAGCACATCTTGTTAGTTTCATTTCAAATCCATTGTGGTGGTGTATAGAGCCAAAAATGTTAGAATTGTGTCGATGTCCCAATATTTATGGACCGGACTGTATATTGTATTAATATCAAATGCAACACACATGGATAGTTAGCTTGTGCATATTATAAGCATATTTTGTTATAATTTGTGTATCCTGCAGTTGAAATTGCAGTCTTTTCTGTTCAGTAAAGCAAATACACTATAGAGTTTTAAGCTTCCTTGGCTTTTACCACAAAGAATGTTAATAGACAGCAAAGCAAAAAATACGCGTGCCCAGTGGTCGATCTCTTGTGTTCACAATGCAGCAGGATATAAGCTCAGCATTGGACCCCGAAGCTTGTGGAAATCACTGGAATAGTGGTGTCTAGTTGTCTACCTGGAAATTTTCCTTAAAGGCATTCTACACTTTAAAATGTTTTTGTTGTTTTATATAGCTTTTAGGTTCACATGTGTAGCTGCAGTTTATAGTGTCATGGCTGTTGCATCCTCCTATGTTCATAGTTTGCTACTACCAAAAGGACAAGCAACTTCTTGTTCTGGGTCAGCCTGAAGACTGATAAAAACAAAAAAAAACACAAAAAAAAAAAAAAAACGATCCATGCATGGCTAGCTTAAAAAGCTATGGTTATGTATGGTAAGCATCAGCTATTAGAACACTCTACAGCACAACGTTTCTATGGTTGAACTGGATGGACTTTTGTCTTTTTTCAGCCAGACTAACTATGTAACTATGTTTCTGATGTATCAGGTAATCTTTCATTGAGTAGGTAGTTGAACTTTACTTTATTAGATACTTTATTATTATTATTATTATTATTATTATACAGGATTTATATTTAGCGCCAACAGTTTGCTCAGGGCTTTAGATAATTTATGCAAAGAATGGATAATTTGATTTGTCTGCACAAGTGTGTGTGTAGATAGATTCACTGGAAGGAATTTACTAATCACGTGTAAGAAAATTTTGATTTTTTTTTCATTGCATGCATTTAAGTTTTCCCTGTAAAGTGAAACTTCACCACATTCACTAAGTTTTGGGGTAAATTCTCTTGCAATTTCTCTTGCAAAGCAAACAGCCTATTTGACTTTAATAAATCAACACCTCTTCTTGTATTTGAATAGAAGTGCATGCAGTTTCCTTTATTGATAGTCTATGCAGTGTAGCAGGAGGATGACTATGGCTACTGTGAGTCCCCAATAGGAGAAATCAGTTTGGCCACAATCATACAGATTGGTGGGGAGATTTACTAAAACTAGAGAATGCAAAATCTGGTGCAGGTCTGTATAGAAATCAATCAGCTTCCAGGTCTTATTGTCAAAGCTTAATTGAACAGACTGAAGTTAGAAGCTGATTGGCTACCATGCATAGCTGAACCAGATTTTGCACTCTCCAGTTTTTGTAATTCAACCCCACCTTTTATATCTTTGACCCTAGGTTCACATCTGTGCTGGGGGATCCGCACGAAAATGCGTGCAGCCGCACCACCCGCACAGAGAAATGCGGACCCTCGGGCGGATGGCATTAGTTCTAATGGCACGCTGCCCGCACTGGAAAACACAACTGTACTGGGAACCGAAGTTCCCGTGCGGGCTGCATTTTCCAAAGAAGTGCAGGGACTTCTTCCTTGCGTGTCACAGGCACGGGAGTCCATTCAAATGAATGGGCTCTCGTGCCCGTGCAAAATGCTGCCTGCACGGCCACATACATGTGAACTGGGGGTAAATCAGTAAATATGTCCTCTTTACACCTTTAATTTGTGTAATGTATCACAGGATTTTAGCAAATTGGATTGGAAATTATTTTCTTTATCAGTTTTGAGGATTTTGAAACATAATTTTACCAAAGCTACAGCTACGTGGATAAAATGTACCTTCACTGAAACCACCTAATCAGTTTTAGTGTCATTGAAAAAGCAACAGTCTCTGAATTCCTGCATGATGCAATATTCTTTAAAAGTATCTAAAATGATAAAAATGACACTTTCATTGCAGAAGATGCCAGTGATTTGCCTTTAAACCTGGGACAAAGATATGAGAAAAACAGTTAACAGATTAAACATGCAGGAAATTAAACTTCTAGGACTATCCTATATCCATACAGAACACCTCAAGTTTTTCAAATAAAAAGACAAAAAAAGGCATTGTTTGGCTGGTGACTCATTCTAATGGATAAGTACATTTAATAAGAGTAAATGTGTAAAATAAAGGATAAAAAAAAAAAAAAAACTAATGATGTCAGAGAACATTGCACAAGGATAGGGCTGCTGTCAGAAATCGTGGGGCCCATACAGTGTACCTGGCAGCCCACCCCCTCTCCAAAAGAAACAAAAATACAATATAAGTGAAGGAGAGGATGGTAGGAAGCAGGGGCGGACTGACAACTCATGGGGCCCCCGGGCAATAGGGGATCATGGGGCCCCTGTGTCCTTGCCCAAACTCAAAAAAGCCTATGAAAAAAGGTACCAGAGGCATCTCATGTAGCCCCCTACTGACCCCCGGGCCCTCGGGCAGTGCCCGAGTTTCCAAATGGTCACTCCGCCCCTGGTAGGAAGGTAGTAAGTGGAGGAGGGGAAAGTCAGCTTCTCTTCCTGTTGGCTTTCAGGTGTTGCAGGGGAGAACTACAGGGGAAATGGTTCCAGTAAATGCACCCTGTCACCCAAATCACCATCTCTGTATTGTCCACGGTATGATTCCCTCTGCCGCTCGGACCCCCTGCTGAATGGATGGGGCCCAGGCCCCGTACAGGAGGCACAACTGTACCCCCTTATCAGTAGCCTTGCACAAGGATAGGTTGTATTGGACGTATTAAACCGAAAAGGGGGAATGTTTATAAACCTTTACTGATTTTTATATATACATTTATCCAATATGCAAGACAAGCATATCATCGTATTTAAACTTTAAGGAAAACATTGAGTTAGCTGAGTTACTGTAAGCAATTACAAGTTTGATAGTAGTTCGTACTATAAGAATGAGATCATAGCCTTGTATCCTGGCAACTATGAAGGATCAAAACGCTTTCCCCCGAAGGAATACAGACTATTGCAAACCAATGTAAACTTTCTTCCTTCTGTAGAAAACACAGGAACAAGCAAGGCAGCACTGCTTGATCTGCAACCTGAGAACTGATTAAGCCTTAACAAGATAGATAAAGGCTACAACAGGAAAACACAGGTGACCCATCAAGGGAAGGTAAAGGACCGGCAAGCTTAAAGCCAAACTCTAGAAAGCAGTTAAATATACAGGCTATAGTTTGTTTTTTATATATATATATATATATATATATATATACAGTATATACTGAATCTTATGTACATGCACACCAAAGGAGTTAATTCATTATGATTTTTGAAGTACTTTTCTATGATACTTTTTGTACGATGGTTTGGTTAGACGATGTAATTGACAAATTATTCTTATGGTGTTTTTTTTTTTTAAGTTGATCTTGAGGTTTTGGATTGAATGTTAAGTTTATACATCTTGTGTTTGCACTTGGTATCCTTCTCCTTTAAGATGGATTTGTTAGGTTTCACATGTCTTTCTGGTGATAATATGATGCCATTTCATATCTGTTTTGATATAAATGCATTGTTGTTTGAGAAAGAGCTAGGAATACTCAAAACTGTTGTGGTTACTTCAGGGGCAGACTGAGAACTCATGGGGCCCCCGGCAATAGGGGATCATGCGGCCCCTGTGTCCTTCCCCTAACTCAAAAAAGCCTATGAAAAAGGTACCAGGGGCATCTCATGGGACCCTCTACTGAACCCGGGATCTCGGGCAGTGCCCGAGTTTCCAAATGGTCAGTCCGCCCCTGGGTTACTTTATATGTCCTTGGACTGAATAAATTACAAACTGTGAGTGGACCATTAGATACATTGCTTAAAAAAATGAAAGGAACACTTTGAAAACACATCAGATCTCAATGGGGAAAAATATCATGCTGGATATCGATACTGATATGTAGTGGATAATGTGTTAGGAATGTAAGGATGCCCCATCGTTTGATGGAAATGAAAATTATCAACCGATAGAAGACTGAATTCAAAGACACCCCAAAAACCAAAGTGAAAACAATTATACAGGAGGCTAGTCTATTTTGCTTACATTTTATAGTAGCAACTTAAAAAGGTACTCAGTAGTTTGTATGGTCCCCATGTGCTTGTATACATGCTTGACAACATTGGGGCATGCTCCTAATGAGATGAAAGATGGTGAGCTCAGTCAACGTTGTTCCAGCCATGTCCCCCTGACATGTTTCGCCCTGCTCACTGGGCTTGGTCACAGACCTCTGGGTCAACTGTGGGTCTAGGATTATAACTTTTTTTTTTTAATGGTTGAACTGGATGGACTTTTGTCTTTTTTCAGCCTGACTAACTATGTAACTATGCAACCAAGCCCCGGTGAGCGAAGGAAAACATGTCAGGGTGGCATGGCTGAAGCACCGCTGAATTAAACCACATTCTTATACATACTAATGCATGGGGCTGATAAGTGGCAGCTTTTCTTCTCTTTGATAATGCTCTTACACCTCTGAATGGTGCACTGACATCAGCTCCCTTTACTGCAACTGGAGGGGAGAACTCTGTCTCAGCTTCAAGTTTAATTCGGATCACCAGAAAAGTATTGCTTTCACTTTACTGAATCCCCCCCCCCTACTGTGTTTTCTGTTGTTACAAGTTTTGTCTTAAACATATTTTATATACAAGTGTAGCACCCTCCCAAATAGGTGCTAAGAGTGGATAGATTTCGCTCTGGCTCACTGTGTCCAGTGGAGCTGTGTGTTTGTTGGTAGGTAAATTTAGCCTTTCTCACTGTATAATAACATGTTCCTATACTCAACCAGATAGAAATGGTACCACATTCCAAATCACTAGAGTCTCAGAAAACTGGGGAATTAAACAGCACTTTTTGGGGCACCCAATGACAAACAATATATATATGTATTAGATATGATAACAATTACAAAATTTGGTTCAGCATCGAAGCAATAAAAAATATGCCAATGAGGATAGATCAGTTTTACACAGACATTACAACAGCATCATAAAAACATAAAAATTACTTGTAAACCATTGTTAGAAACAATAGCTATCTGCAATTTGAAATGCGCTGGGTTTTTTTATTGTACATCTGACACTCTCCTTGTGAAGCACTGGATATATGTTGCATTAAAATTGCACCAAAAATGCACTGGAATGCATCAAAAACATGCATGCAGAAAAGCATTCGGAACTCATCTGGACTGCGTTTCTATAGTATGAACGGACCCTTAAAGTGGTTGTAAACCCTTACCTATACTCACTGAAGTGACCGGCTTCAGGTGATACATAGGGATGAAACAAATCCCCCCACATAAGTTGTATGTGTCTATTTGCAGCCATTTGTCCTGTACATCCTTCTAAAACTCAGAGATGAAAAGGATTTTTCACATACTCACAAAGCAGGGGACTGTGAGCTGCAACTACACATTGTACAAGAGCTCTGAGAGCTGATTGGAGGGAAGGGACACACCCCCCCTTCACATAGCACACAGGAACAGAGCTGAGGCTCTCAATCACAGGTTGTGTGCTGGTGTTCCCTCCCTGTTACCTTTTTAACTCTCTGTGCCAGGAAAACATGTCAGAAGTGACTCATGCAGATAGCAGATGAAGTAGACAGCAAAGAGAAATAAAATGTACTGCTTTGGAGAGAGGCAAGTACAGACTATAGAAATATATGCTTTGTTCAGGTTTCATGTCTGAGGTTTACAACCACTTTAAGGTAATGTTTGACTTTCGATCTTTTTTAATGGGTATTGAGGCTAGAGCTTTTCAAGTTGGCTATTGCTCAACACACATAAGAGTGACACTTGTTGGGTATAATTCACATGCTGTGTAAAAGAATGGTTGTTAGATGTGTGAATGTCCATTTGATGCCTAATATCCATAGTACCAGCTATAGAGTTTTATTAATTTCATTTTCCTTCAGTCATCGGTACAAAACTCTGTGCTGCCCCATTAATGCCAATTTAATTTAATGAACAAGTACAGCAAAACATAATTTATTTTCATGCTCCAGAGTCTATGTATAGCCAGATAAAATTAAGAGGGGTAAGGAAAAAAAAAAGAACAACAATTTTTATTAAGGACTGAAATAATCTCTTTTAGAACATTATATATGCAA